TAAATTTCGCAGTTAATATTATACATAAATTGTTATAATACAACTGATTTTCATATCATAAGGAGAGAGCCAGAGCAAATCTCTTTTCTACCTTATTATATATACGTCAAATTTCTATTCCAGTTACTTTTACTGCAACACATCGATCATCGAAATGACTAAAAGAACAGAGCGATGGTAAGACTGTTCCGAAGAGAAATAACTAATTACGACACGATGACGTGTGTGTATTCAAATTCAATAGTGCGCACCTGCTTACATTTTATAAAAGCTACGTTACAAAACCTGAATGTTGCTTGTTACAACATAAAAAATAACAAGACGGACACATGTCGCTTAACGAGTAATTATCAACTCAATATATATCTCTGACAAAAATATCCAAAATAAAATTAATATATACGGAAAAAACAAGTTTGCTGAAGTATCTAAAAATATAATCAAATAGAGATTTGAAAATAATATTGTTTGAATCATCAAAATAATTATATAGGATCATTCAAGCTGGTTGCTAGAATGTAAAAACTTTTTGCAACATTTCTCATGGTTGAACTTCCTGCATAATTATTTCAATGGTCCATGAATAAAATAATTTTCAGCAAAAAATAATTCGTGCCTTGACATTTTGCTAAAGTGCAATATATCGTTCTCGTACATTTAGCATGATATATTTAATATGAATTTGTGAAATTAGCATGCCATTCTATTAATATAAAAAAAAATAATAGTTCCACTAGCACTTTGTTCATAATTCACCTCTGTGAAGCTGGCCCCTCATTTTCAAAATTTTGAAAAAATAAACAGAGTTCTGGTTGCCCCCCAAAGAGTTCTATCGATTGTTCTTATGGATCAAAGTGAACGGTAAAGAAGTTATAGCGCTTCAAAGTTTCGGAATTGTGAACTTGGCCCCCCCGGAACTTTAAATGATGTTTTCATCGCTTTAATCGACGGAATTCTTTCTATAAACTTGATAGAGAACTCTAGCACTCTTCGAGGGACAACCAGAATTCTGCTTATTTTTTCAAAATTTTGAAAATGAGGATCCAGCTTCACACAGGTTCATAATTCTACAGTTCCGCATTTGCTACACTAAAAAACTAAAATTAACATTAGTTACTGGAACTGTAGAACTAACAGTAACAAAAGTACTACTGGAACTGTCATTAGGGTGAATGCACTCTCTGTGGCCACCTCAAGCATTTCTATAACTTTAAGAAATTTTTTTTTTAATAATACATAAAAAGGAGACACTATTTACTTAATACTATTTATTTAATGTCTTAGTTTTTAATATTCAAAAAAGTTTTAAGGAAAAAAGCGAATGTGTAATGAAAAAGTTAAATAGTTGCAAAAATTCCATTTTACATCATTTTTGGCTACCTATATACTTCCTATCATTACGAGGCTGACTACTAATTACTTGATGGTTACTAGTATTGTCTGCTATACTTGTCATATGTAGTATTATTGATAAATTATTCTACTTACCGCGTTTCGGGGATTCTTATCGTTTTTGACAAGATAACTGTGTCTTAAGTGTATTCCGTAGAAAATATTTTTTTTTATAATATGAAAGAGGAAATGTGAGGCTACTTGTGTCACATTATTAAACAAGAGAAATAATTGCGACGCGCATGTGTCATGATTGCTACGCACTAGAGCCAACCAAAACTAGAAAAACCTAATAAACAGCGAAGGTGGCCAAAATGGGTGCAGTGGCCACAAACGGTGCATTCACCCTATTTTTTTATATTAATAGAATGTCTTGCTAATTTCACAGATCCGCTTATTATCGTAATATGACGTCTTATATTATTATATTGAGAAAAATGTTGGATATAAAACAACATTATTTTGTTGATATGTAACTAATAAAAACTTTCTTATTTTTTAATTAAAAAATTATATTTTAATCAAAATTTGATTACAATAAAATACTCCTATAAAATATTTGGTTAAAATAAAAAATTATATAAAACTTTCTTATGTTTTAATTTAAAAAATAAGAAAGTTTTTATAAATCAAATATCAAATATAACAAATTAATGGTTATCAAACATTTATATATTATAGTTGCTAAAAGTATCGTCGATATATTCGATAGCAAAATTGAGGTACTACACGCGTCGCATGCGTGCTAGACACTTTCTAGCGTAGACGTAAACACGAGAGTAAGTAACAGCAGCAGCAGCTGCTGCTGCGACAACGAATTCAACAGGTGGACCCGTAGCGCGACTCGGATAAATTCCACGCGAATGCCACGGATTCCTTTGGTACGGGCGCGTCATCTCCCGGGACTTTCGCAGCCAAAGAAAATGCCGATCAACCAATATGTTTACCTTAACACGCGCTAACCTTTCCTCCTCTCTCTTTTTTCCTTTTTAATTTACTTAAAATATTTAACACATTTTACTACAATACTAGGAAAAGTCTGATTACATTAATTGGCATTCTAGTTGAAAATGGACGAATCAGAATTTTCTAGTTGAATCTATTATCAAGCTCTATAAAGCTAGCAGGATCAAATTAACAGAATCAAATCGGACCTATCAGAATTTTTAGTACTCATTTTGTACTGAATTGTACCATTAATGATAATTTTATTGAATCAATTAAAAGTAAAAGAAAAAAATATCAGAAATAAATAGGATTGAATTTGTACTATTTTGTACTACCAAAAACAATTCTGAAATTCATAAAAAAACGTCGTTCATGCGAATATTCAAATTATTATATCGAAACAATAACATTAGTCGTACAAAAAAATGCAAGAGACCGATTTTAAAGATCTTAAATTGTTCTATGGATGGATTATTTTTAATTTATCATTTTCATATAAATAAATCATTTTCCAGAGTTGTTTACAATATTTATTAATATTTTTCATCAACTCACCAATTAAAAAATTTTTGTAAAAATGTTATATTCCCACTTTAATTATGAAGTAATCCTGAAAATTTCAAAATAGAACTCGAATGTACAGTAAAATATTAACTTACTTTCACACACAATGGTACAAATTAGTACAAATTTACTTGTGTTAATTTTTGCCTTTGTGTTTTTTTTTTATGGTTCTGCCAGCTTAATATTAAGCTATCAGTGCCACGATTTTTTTCGAAATGCACACGGTATAAAATTATCATTAATGATACAATTTAATACAAAATAAGTACTAAAAATTCCAATTTGATTCTGCTGATTTGGTCCTGCTAGCTTTATAGAGCTCTATTAACATCCTAGAAATATATAACCAAAATTCTGATTGATATGATCAGAACCTTTTAGTCTGTTTATTATCAACCAGCATTTTTTCTCAGTATACAGAATTAAATTAAATTATATAAAAAACAAATTTCTACGAGAAAATTTTTACTTTATCTCTAATTGTTATCAAAGATAACAAGAAAAGTCTTTTTCTTACTATTGTAACTCTATTGTAAATCTTCTAGATCGATTTACAAGATAATGAAATGTTATCTACATTGTGAAAAATTTCTGGTTGAAAATGAACGAACCAGAAAATTCTAATTATATCAAAAATTCTAATTATATCAAACAGAATTTTAGTTATCTCAACTAGAATTATAACAGATTCAACCAGAAAATTCTGATTTGTCCATTTTAACCAGCATTTCAATTAATGCAAGCACAAATTTTTTCGAATTTCCTCGTCCATAACGCAATTTGCATTACTTCCGCATGCCCGAATTTCCAATTCGCAAATTTGAATATACGAATATTTATATTCAAAAAAGTCATTGGCGTGCAAGCTAGCCATTCAATGCCTTGTTACTCTTACAATTCGAATTTGTAATGTGTGCCGACACATAGCTGTTTATTCCGGATAAACGTTTCTCATTAATAATTATCTCTTGAGAAAGATAGGCTCCTAAATTATTCTAAGAATACCAATCTTCCATTTGCATTCCATACATGCATTATTAGAGGAAAAACAATTTGTTCATCATTATGCACATATATTTTGCGACAATAGATTCATCTCTGTAAAAATTATTAATCAATCATAATAAAATTAAGTTAAAATGTATAAAGTTATTCTAGGACGTGTATAATGGAAAATATATATATGGTACTTTCAGTTTTCATTTTCTGATTAACTGGTGGTTAGATTTAATCTGATAACATAAAAATTATATTTTTCCAGCTATGGTTAATCATTAAATTAATAATTTTGTAGTAACTTAAAGTTATTACCACTACCAAACCAGCAGTTTAAGCGATTAATAATGGCTAGAAAAATACAATTTTTACATTATTATCACGTTAAATCTAAACCATAAGTTAACTAGAAAATGAAAAAAAGACTGTGAGCCTAGAAGTATCACATATTTTTTCCATTATACATGCATCAAAAGTAAACACAATCCATTTTTCGACATTGTGCTTATATATTCCGTGACGATCCAAGTAAAATTTAATGAATTCTGACAAGAAGTTAAAATTTAAAATGAATATCAAGTAATTTAAAAAAATTTGTTAAAAATGCTTGTGTAAAATATAGATGTATTTACAGGAAATGTAGGAATGTTTTGTTGTCAGCACATTTATTTGTTTTATTTTTGTCCACTATATTGTATATTAAATAATTACAACAGTTATAGAAACCGACTGTAATTTTCTGTTGGAACGATAACAATTATAAGCAACAGAAAATTTCGAATATTCAAAAGACGATGACGCAAAGCGGACAAATTATAGTTCTTAATCGATTCGCAAAATTATCTGCATCTGTTTAAAAATAAAAAATTAATAATAATTAAATGTCAATCGCAAATCTCAATTAAACAAAGGATCAGCAATTCACTCAGACATAAAATTCGGTTTATATAATTTGGTTTTATAAAGAATCGATCTATTTCTAAAACTATATTTTTGTAAAAAATTTTTTAATTCGATATAAGACAATCGCACATTTGGAACGCCTATAGAGTCAACGATAACAAGACTAGAAAGAAAAAAGAAGTTAAAAGCGCACTTACCTCGTCAACGGAGCAGTTGCTGCCTTCGGAACGATCTTCTACGCTGTTGGGATTCCTCTCCGGCGTCTTGATCACTTTGATGTTCTGCATAGTACCCTTGATAACGATGTTGTTCTCCCTGAAGTAATCGTCGGCTTCCTGGTCAACTACCAGCAGCTTGGTCTCATTGGCGAACGCCTTGATACGCTCGACCACCTGATTGTGAGTCTCGTTCGCGATGTCGATCTCGTTAACCTCGACTATCCGATCGCCCTGACGCAGACCGGCCGCCAGGCTCGGCGAGCCCTCGTCCACCTTGCCGATGAACTGACCGTTCTTGCCCTTCTGCGCGTGTAGATTGAAGCCGTAACCGTTGAAATCGTCCCATTTGACGATGTGGCAGAGCCGGGCGCACGGCACTCTATCGTCCTTGAAAGAAGACATCGCGTCACGTCGGTCTCACTTTCGACGGGACAAGAAGAAGTAACGTGCAAGAATCTATCGCCGGATCCACTGCCGGACACCACCACACTGCACCGAGGAACGCGCGAAACGCGAGAGTCACGCGCGAATCGAGACGTCGAGACGAGAAACACCGCAAGGTAGCAGACAGACAAACAAAGAGACACGCGCACACGTTCAAACGACGACCAAAGTACGTATGCGAACTGACGCGAAGTTGGCTGCGTTACTCCGATTACTCGGCAAGTCGGCAGCAGGCGCGAACGCGAGGAGTGACGAACAGTGCCGAACGGAGCCGAACTGTCGCTACCGGCCGTGCCTGGCCGTGCCGACTGCCGACGAGCGCCGAACCGACCCGATTCCGCGTAGCCGTTACGCGCCAACTGCGCTGCGAAAATTGCTTATGATTTTCAATAAATTTTTCCTTCTCTTCTTCTTCCCCTTCTTTTTCCACTTCTTTACATTATCATCAATTGCGTCGTTCGCGTATCTGAATAGCTTGTCGAATTGAATGTCTCTTCTCTTCTAGCCAGAAGAGATCAGTCGGTTTATCAGCTATCTTGAAAAATTTGAATTTGAGAAGTGCTCCGTTCACCGTTCACGGCTTTTCGCGCTTGAGTCGCACTTCACAAATTAATTATTCATCACAGAAAGTTCATTTAACACGTATATACACGATTCACGTACGTCACTCGGAGATTATGGTCTGTCGACGTGTTCCTCAAACACGAGGAAGAGCGCTCTTGTCGTTATTAAATCGCACAGGTCGCGCTTCACACGTTAATACGTTCAAAAGTTCATTTAACACGTATATATGATTCACGTATGTCACTTAGAGATTATGGTTTGTCGACATGTTCCTCGAGCACGAGAAGAAGTACAGAGAAAGAATTCAAATAATACGCTGATGAGCGAAACGAAATACCGGAGAAGAAAGTACACACAACTGGTGCGTTCAGAGAGACGCTATTAGTGCTACTTCTGTCATTCTATCTTCGTTGTTTATTAGACGTAAAACAAGGATAGAATGACAGAATAGCGCTAATAGCGTCTCCTCGAACGCACCTACAAGCACAAGAGAACGTCGGCTATCATGGCGCTGGTGGTGACCTCTCGCGGCAGGTACGCAAAGCTCTACGCGCAGGCGCGCTCATGCGCGTCGGTTACTTATCTGAAACTATAAAGTTTATTCTGAATATACTGACAGTAGGTCTGTTGTTTCCCAGACAGCACACAATATTCATAAAATATTTACAAAAAAATATTTTTAAATAATTATAAGATTTATTTTAAATATTTTGTAAATATATTTTTGTGGTCTTTTAGATTACACAGATCACAAACATTTATTATAGATATTATGAAATATTTATTGTAAATGCTATGAAAATACTTAATGAAACATTATAATCCAAGTAAAAAATATTTATTAGAAATATTTATTTATATTTATCATATAAATCATTATATTTATCAAATATTACATAAAATATTTAGTCTATATTCTAAGGCTGCGTTCCGTTTCACGCATGATGTGCATAATACATTATCATTTATCCTTGTTTAACAATCGGTGAATAACAAAAATGGAAGATACATCATGCGCATCATGCATGAAACGGAACGTAGCCAAATAATATTTCAAATAAAGCTTTTTATAAAATATGTATGAAATACCTATATGACATTTCAAAAAATGAATATTAATAAATATTTATCATAAACATTCTGTGCTGTCTGGATTAGTATTTTACAATATTTCTGCACTTTAAACGAGATGAATTATTTATTCGGAAGTTAGAGAGAGAGAGAAAGCGAATTTATATATACAAAATTCAAAAAGTACAAATAACGCGACAGACGTAAGCCTATATTCAGAACGCGCTTACAACAATGTTAGCGCGCTAATATGCTATACTTTATGTTACGCATATTATAGAATTTCAGAGATAAAAATGCGTTATGAATACGGGCTCTAATATTGAAAATCCATAATTCTCACATACGCTTTAGATTAAATTTTCAGTAATATCAAGAATTTCAGTAATTTCAGAATGTTGGAATGTAATTTCCAACGTGATACAATTTAAAAAATAAACAAATGAAATCAAAGAGCCTAAAATTCCTTTATTTAATTTTATATTTCTATACTATTTTTATACTGTTTTCTTTCTTATATTCCGACACATTGGTTGTTTCGAATATCTCTCGTGCTTTTATTTTATGAGTATGACGCAATTTTAATTGTTTTCCACAACGTTGGCTGACATTTTGTCTCGCTCTTACTGAAACGTAATAACATTCTGAACCCAATCACGTTTCTTCCAATTCACATTACGATTAATTATCGACGCACATTCAATAACTCTGATTCGGCGTTTTTTTCCGCGAAACGTAGACAATCGAGGCGCATAATAATTGTAATACAGGGGTGTGATGCAATCACGTCGACGTAACACCGTCGATTTAAGCGGACACGATTACATCACGATAAAAAGCGAGTTGTAAAACTCGCAAACTAACAATATAAAATAGCACGACAATAAAAGTGGGCGAGCCATCGCGTAATAAAAGAAATTCCATTGTGTGAGATGCATTTAGGCGTCGAAGATCGAACCTAGGATGTCAAAGAATTAAATAAGAAGATGTTGCTTTCACGCAGAACCTCATTTTAATGTTAATATTAAATGAAAAGCAATTATAATGCGGCGTATCACCTCGCCACTTCCGTTCTTTAGTAATATTTGCGGGCAATCGCGCGGAATGTCGTAATAAAGCGTAATAAAACCGTTTAGTATAGCTTTGTAACTGTAATCATCTTTTCTAATCTCTCCGCAAACAGATAAATAAGCCTAGCTTTGCATTTATTATAAGGCTCATATTATATTAATCTGACAACATTGTCATATATCGTACAGGTAACAAGAGTAATCGATCGCCGCGTCTGATCTCGCAAGTTAAATTATTTCATATACAAATTTCGCTGTTACGATTAATGATAAAATCCACATTCGTGAGAATAATTATTAATTAGCAGTGATTGTGATCATTTTCTGCACTAATCACAATTAATTGCTGCTTGTATCAATTCTATTAATTATAAAAATATATTAACGTCGCATTGTGATTCGATTACAAGAATCGCCTTTTATTATTTAGTTCGTACTGGTATCAGTGTTGGAACGTATCTAGGTAAAAGTATCTAGATACAGTATCTAGATATTTTAGCTGTACCTAAATGCATTACTTAGATCCTTATAGGCGGAGATACCTATATCCGTATTTAGTTATTTTTTTATACGGTATCTTTTAAGTTTTAGATACATAGATACAAGGTATTTATATACAAATACGCCGCCATTAAGAGTGCCTTCCTACAAGCGACACAGTATAACACAGTGATCATCTCATTCTTGTTTAACATTGACGAATAACAAGGATGTAATGGTACACTGTGCCTCATACCGTGTCATCTGTGTCGCTTGTTGAAAAGCATACTAAATCAACTCAGAAATTAGTAATCTAGTATTAGTACCTATGCGCTGATATACTAATTAAAGACCGATATTCTTATTAAAGCTGTTCATTAAAACTAAACATTTATGTAATCAAGAGTAAGAAATTGATAACGAGTAGAATTAATTTTATGATTTATCAGTTTTGTAGACATGCATATGCATGTAAAACTAAACAATACTCGATTTTTATTTAAAACTATTAATGAAACCGATTTTAATGTTATAGACTGGGGGTTTTGTTAAAATAAACAAATAAAATGTGATATTTAATTTACGTTGCTTATTACTTCTACTTTTCCTCTTTTCCCCCATTTTTCCTTTTTTTTTGTTGAAAGTACCTAAAAAATATCTAAATTTTCAGATACTTTTTATTTATATCTGTATCTATATTTAGGTAATTGTAAAAAAATGTATCTATACTTATATCTAAATACATTTCCCACACAATACCTATATCTATATCTAGACTTTCAAACGGTATCTGTTCCAACACTGACTGGTATCATAAATTTAAGTTAATGAGGATACATATAGCATAAAAATACATGTAGTATATTCAGATGTGCCGGAAAAAGCATGAGACAATGATTAGTTTATATAAAATTTTACATCGGCAGTATGACAAAGTGAACTAAATGTTAGAATATACAATCATTTATTTACAAAAAATGATTTTTTATTAGAGATATCAATAATTCATTAGTTGAAACTAGCAACTTTTGTGTGTGTGTGTGTGTGTGTGTGAACATAAATTGAAAGTTTTTAAATAAATAATTCACTATTATTTAGATTCTAAAACAAATCTACATTCTAATTAGAAAATTAATAATCATTTATACATTAATATTAATAATGTTGTTTTTATGTTAATAACGATGTTTACTCGCTTAAGGTCAAAAGTCGCGCTATAGTTATCATTTATATCATGTACTATAAAATCTGAGGCACACACGAAGCGTTTCTCATGATTGTGACAGCATAGATTCTTATCGATGCGACGATGCAGGCTGCGAATAGATTAATTAATGCTTCGTTCAGGATATGGTTAATCAGACGTATAAGAGATGAATGAGAAATCTGCAAGCATGAAGGCCAAAGCTATGCAATTAAAACTAATATACGTGTATATTTTAATTATTTAATGCTATATTTGTCTTGATGCATTTTCTTCTCTCGATACATTGCATACTTAAGGCTGAATCTATAATAAACTATCCAGAGAAGAATGTTAATTATATATTATAAGATTTAATTTAAAAAGAATGTTTATTATATTAAAAAATAACGTAATAGCTGCAACTAGTTGTAATGGATTCTTTAATTAATATATTACGTTATTTTTTAATATAATAAACATTTTTTTAAATTAAATCTTATAATATAATTAACATTCTTCTCTGGATAGTTTATTATAGATTCAGCCTTAATTATGCAATGTATCGAGAGAAGAAAATGCATTAAGACAAATATAGTATTGACCTAAACGAATTATATTTAAAAAACTTTACAACAGTTGCAAACTGTTCTGCTGAACGCAGCCATGAATTTTACTACAATTTAAAAACTCAAATTTTTACGCGCAATGAAGCATCGTGAAGATAGCTGCGCGATGGTCCCGTTCAGTCCGCAGTGTCCACATCTGGCGCATCTGGCGCGTCGGTCGCACCGTACGGCGCATTGCGCAGCGACGCACGTAGCGGTTGTTCGAAGGCCCG